TTCACGGACATAACACTTTCGTTAGGTTATTTAAGACGACTATGGAAATAACTATGCCTTCTGACGACCACCAACCCATAACCCTAACCGATAAATATGCCAGCTGAACGTTAATTGTTGGTGAAAATATTGGACCAAAGAGTTTTAATAAAAAAACTAATAATTTTGGGCGGGACGAAGTACGCCGGGTCTGCTAGTTTATTGTAAATGGAGATAAGTCTAAGAGTGTCCAAATATATATATTTTTAACTCTTTATACTAAAAAAATCTATTTACAATATTAATTTGTGGTCTATGGTTTCAAATTGGAAATTAGTTTCTAGTGCATTATAATATCCTCACACCAGCGCCATCTGACGTATAATATTTTCACGATGAAAAGAAATTTCAAGTCTGAAATTACCTCCACCACTTGCGACTTGTGCTACGAAAACGCTCTTATTCCAAGATTTTATGCCTATATGTGTGGTGGTGTGTGTATTGATTATGCTATTTTTTAACAACATTTTTACACAGATGCATAATTATAAATAATACAAATAATTTCATAAAGAAATTCAATAAAGACGGCCATTAACATTTCTCAAAGTCCAACTATCTTAAAACCAACAATCATCAATTTCTTAAAAAAAAAAAACTAATCACTGTGTCTTTTTTTTTGCTCATTGCATCCAAAGCAACAATAAAGAAGACATTCAAGCTATCGACAAAAATAAGGAAAAGAGAAAAATTGACAACAACAACACCAGCAACGACAACGAAACCACTAAACAATCAAGTAACACACCAAGCAGCAAAGCAGCAATTTCATTGACTGGCATTATTAACGCACTAAAAGTGGTAATCAACATTGTTGTGGCAATTGTAGATACATCATAAAATAATTTGCACAATTTTTTCGCTTCGACGCCTCAAATGAAACGCCAGACCGGACCGGACTGGACTGTGCGCTGAACGATGAAAACGAAGACGACATTTGATACCAAAAGTAGTTAGTAAAGCTGTTAAATGCAGAAGCAGAAGCAGTGCAGCAGCAGCAGCGGCAATAACTGGGCTGCACTAATAGACAAGGAGGAGGACAGACAGACGGACAGCCAGAAAGACAGAAAATTAAAACCCGGAGAGTGCCAGCGCGGCAGTGGTCAATGAAGGAGGCAGCCTCTTAAGTGCCTAGCCAGTGAGGCTGATGGCTAAATAGTTAGGCGGTAAGCTGGGAGCTATAGTTGGGCGGCGGCAGTTGGTGCAAGGTGAGGTGGTAGCAGAAACATTTGTTAACACTTTAACAAGTTATGATTATACCGCACCGAGTATCTATTATTGCATAGTAGGCGAACGCTTAATCGCCAGCAGCCAATGCTCCAGTGGTTAGTTGAAAAACAAAAAAAAAAAAAAAACAACAACCCAACAACAGCAGCCAGCAGTTCAATGGAGTGTAGCAAGTCAATAAAGCAGATGGGGTGATGGAGCAACACATGAGGCCAGACCAGGCGGACAAGCTGACTACAGACAATTGCCAATGGCAATGGTAACTGCGCTGGCAGTGCCACACTCGCACACAGGCAGTGCGGTGACGGGCTAGTGTAGGCATATTAAGTCGAGTAGCTTCACCGACGACCGCCTCATTGCGGCATTGGCGTTGCCCATACAAACCCGCCTGCTTGCCTGCCTGCTTGGCTACTTTTCAAATCGACCAAGCGTTTGACAGCGTTGATGTTTTTCCAATGTTTTCAGCGTTGTACGCATTAGCATGGGCAATTATAACACTCATGTAATAAAAGATCGCCAATAAGCATGGGAAAAATAGAAACAAAAATATAATAAAATAACAATAAATAAATGGAGCAATGAAAATGAGCGTGTGCATGGCGGGGTTCGCGGTGAAAGAAAAAAAAGACCATACGAAATTAAATATGTAAATAAACCAGAAAGCAAACTAAATCCAAATCAGTTAAATTTTGTATTTACACTAGGGTGGTCCAAAAAAAATGTAAAGTCTGAATTTTAATGATCTCACCCCTAGGGTTGTTCTATATCGATAACAAGTAATTTTTAGCAAAAAAAAAACCGACTTCAACTCCCATATAAAAAAAAATATATATATATATCTCATGATCCACTGATCGGATCTCAACCAGATTAGTATGGGACCACCTCTGAGACACTACCTTTCCGATGCAAAAAGAATTATCGAAATCCGTTGACGTGGTCCAAAGTTATGCGGTAACATACATAACAAAAAAAAAAATTAAAAAATATTCCGACGAATTGATAACCTCCTCCTTTTTTGGAAGTCGGTTAAAAATATACCGACATATATATTTATTTTGAAATCAAAAAATATTTATATGTCGCTCAAAGTGCTCAAAATTTTCCATGCATTTTATATGGGAAAAAAACAACTAGAACCTAGAAATGGTATAGAATTCTTGAAAATCAATATTTTTCGATCTGGAAACTCTACTTCTACTAAATTTTTTGTTTAACCATTTTTTAATACTAAAATTTTTTTAGTTGTCCCCCATTGCATTTTCGGTCATTTTCTGTGGTTTTGGCGGACCTATAAAATATAGTTACTATGGAAAAAAGGTTCAATAAATAATTGGCTATTAATATTGGGAATCTCCTGAAAAGAATCAGAGTTTTCCGATCGAAAAATATTGATTTTCAAGAATTCTACCATTTATACGAAAAGTTGTTTTTTCCATATAAAATACATTGAAAACTTTGAGCGCTTTGAGCGACCTCTAAATATTTTTCGATTTCAAAGTAAAAAAAAAGTAGGGGTACATTTTTGTTCGGCATAGAACAATCCTAGGGGGTGAGAGCATACAAATTCCAACTTAACTTTTTCACATGCATTTTGGGACCACCCTAATGCACATGCTAGTTTTATACTAAATTTTACAGCTATACCTCCATCTGTTAATACAGAATGCTAAAGAATTATGCTGGTCAATTTGATGATCTTACTCAGATGGTTATCATACAGGGAAAAAAGACTTGGCAAATAGTTTGGAAGATTTTGTTTATCTTGACACGAAAGTCTTACAAAAAAGTGCCCTTACTAACTTTCACGGTGGAAAGCTCTTTTGGCTTGAAGCACTTGTATATCATTTTCCTTGCGCTTCAACAGTCGCAAAGGCAGAATGAGCACCTTCGTTCCATTCGTGAGATCCGGGTTCGGGTCCTCGGGAAGCGGAATTTTTTGTCTTTTTTTTAATTTAATCTTCATTTAATGATCAGGTTTTATTGTTTATAAAAAATTTGTATGTGTAATTTCATTTAATTTCGTTGATTTATTTATTTATTTTGTACAGTTTTAGATGTTTTCTTTAAATAAACGTATTTTTCTAAATTTTATTTAATGTTAAGAAACTTATATTTTTTCTTCGTTTTTTATTATTTCTTTATGTTTTTTTAATTAATTTTCTTTTAACTTTCTGATTATATTATTTTAAAAAGAAAAACAAATTTTTAATTTCAGTTCATCTTTGGGAAATTTTTTTATTTTTTATTAATGTTTTTTTTTACTTAATTTTCTTTAACCTTTGCATTATATTGTTTTTAAAAGAAAAATATTTTTTTAACTTTATTTTTAGGAGGTTTTTTATATTTTTAAATTTTATTTTCTTTTAATTATTAGAATTTATTGCTTTAAAAAAACATATTTTTTAAATTTAATTTAATTTTTAAAAACCTATATTATAAAGTTTCTATTTTTATGAAGTTTTTTATTTTAATTTTTAGTTTTTGTTTTAAAAGGAAAACTTTATTGTTTTTAAATTTCATTTCATTTTTATAAAACTTATGTCTGAAAGAATAACGCTAAGTCCTCGTCGTTAGCGGATTTTTCAATTAGTCTTGCGAAAGACAAACAAGAGCTTTCGAGATATTTGCCAGAATTGACATTTGTCTACCTATTCAAGTTTGCAAATATACAATCAAACTTTTCGAAATTCAATTTGAGGCATTCCACACTATTTCAATTGGTCCAAAATTAATTTTGCTCGATTTTCGGTATGTTGCAGAGGAGGTCCTAAAGTATTTGTAAACGCAATAAAAACAAAAATGTTTATTCCAAAAGTTATACAACAACCAAAATATTAGGTGTTTCGCCGTAAGCCATTGTTTATCACATTATAACTCGATAAATATTGGTTGTATCAAAAAAATTACTTAGTACTTTTTTATTGACAAAGAGTCAGAGATTTATAAAAAAAAAATTTTAAGCCCAATTTACTACAAATTTTTAAAGCGTGTCTCAATATAGGGCCTGATATATTAATTGTATCGTAAAACAGCGACTGATGAAAAAATTTAAAAAAAAAAAATTTTCAATTGAAATTTGATCAAAATGGAACCAATATTTCGCCCAGACACCTATATTTTGGATGTTCTATAACTTTTGCAAATTTTATTGTATTTTTTTACATTTCTCGCGTTCTGCCATTTCTTAGAGGTATTTCTACATTATACTCCGATTATATCAAAATGGAAAAAAAAATCATAATTTTCATTGAAATAACTTGGAATGCCTCATTTTTGATATGTAAGCATCTTAGCTCTCGTCGGCATGTATAAAAATTGCGTTCATCCACCAGAAACTTTGTAACTAGTTCAGGGTTATTTCAGGATCGTTTCGGAACCTGCTCAGTCCCATTTTGGAGCTATTTCGCGACCATTTTTACACATCAAATTTCATGAGTACCTGATACCTTCTTCTAACCTTTCAGGGTGTTTATAAAAACGTTGATGCTGATCTCTTAAGTACCCTTTTTTCTATTGCTCAAGGCTTTTTATTGAAAACAGTATATTTACAATGATTTTTAGGCACAGCCTGTGTTGGATATAAACACTTTTCAAACTTTAAATATTTTGCAAATAAATATGAACGTCTAGACCAGCTAAAAGCTAATTTTAATTTTCCACTTTTTTCTTTTTTTCACCTTCTCTTTTCATGCATTCCGCACACTCCACTCCACATTGCGTGTGATGTTTAGGCACAGTGCACGCATTCAGTCCGCGCTTGGATTACAGCAACGAATGGCGTCCCGTGGGTCGTGGTGATCCGCTGAAAAACGATCCGACATTCGACTACAGCCCGCCAACGCTCGAGCATGTACGCTACTGGGCGGAGACAACAAAAGATAGTAGCAAGGAAGAGAGCAGCAATGGCAAGCAGGAGGCGAATAGTGTGCGTTTTGCGCATCCCAGCAAGAAAGACATTATGCTGCTTGGCATGCCCAATGAGAATGTGCGTGCAAGCAGTGGTGCGCATGCATCAAAAACACCCCACCAATACGAAAATATGGGCCAGCACGCCTTGCCGCCACACCAGCATCAACAGCCCTTCCATCAACCTTACGGTGGTAGCATGAAAAACGCTAAAGGTGAAACGCCACTACTGCAACCGAAATACACCTCTGTGCGTCGCAGCTATTATGCGCAGCAGCTGCCCACACGCCTGATGCCGCCACCAATGCAAGCAAACTCACCGCCACTCAACACATTCAATGTGCCCATGAAACCATCGCAAGCGGCGCAAGTGCACACCGAGTATCGTCATGGCATGTCTGCAATGCCGCCACATGTCTCCAACATGCCCAGCATGGCAACCGTGTCGCATATGAAGCCGGCGGCGCAGCATCATCCCAGCATGTCAACACCTTCGTCCTCAACATGGATGTACAGTTCACCGCCTGCCGCTATGCAGCATCACCACTATGCGATGTCAAGTGGCGCCGGACCTTTTATGTCAACAGCTTCACAACCGACGCGTATGCCGCACGTTTCGCATGCTTACGACTCACATCCGCAGGATTCGCATCACTACTTCAGCTACACGCGTCCCAACCCGAATAGTATGGCCGCGCATCTGTCGCAAGAGCCGCACTCGCCAAATTCCTTGCGACACAGCGGCAATAGCCATAAACAAAGCGGTGCAGGACGAAAGCCATGGTTGCATGAGCTATTGCAAAAGGAAGTTGTGAAGACATCTTCCAAGCCTAGTTACTCCACAGCGCCCAACAAGTTTGCCTATGAGACTACCAAACCAATCTATGAACGCATGCCGTCCATGAACTCTCTGGGCAGTGGCTTCACTCCAATCACGCCAGTTACTTTCGTTTCCGGGCCGCCAACCATCGCAACAGCGGCCGCGACGATGACCACAACGACGACAACTACAACACGTGCGCCATCACCGCCTTCCGTTGCGTTCACTCCGAGCGCTTTTTATCCAACTACGAGTACTACTACGGCACGACCGACTACCAGCAGCACCACAGCGCGTGCCATTTACACCACACCCACTACGGCCCCGACAACACCACGTACGCCTAGCTCTACGACAACGTCCCGCCTACTAATACCGACAACAAGCAATTTGGCTTACAGACCGACTGTTGCGCCAATGCAAATGACTACAGACTCGTTATTCTCACACTACAAGCAACCGGAAGCGCCGCTTCGGGGTCCAATGTATCTGATCATTGAAGGTCATTCGAAAGTGAAGAAATACGGTAAGAATGGCATCAACCTGAATCTGCCGAAGATAGTGCCCGTAATACCGAAACGTGAGCCAGTTGTACGTATCGCCGAACCGGGTGATGAAAAACGTGGTACACCCGAGACATTCCAAGTGGAACACCTGCATGTGAAGACATCAACGTCTATGCCGACGACCACGACAACGACAGCTAGAACTGTAACGACTCCGAAACCTGCGACGACCGCGAAGCCTGTGCCCACTACGACAGCTAAGCCTGCACCGATTTCAAAGAAGGTATCAACAGTTCTGAAGTCTGCGATGCCAGCAAACCTTACCGCAGCAACGAAGTCCGCCAAAGAGACAACTCAAAAACCAACAGCAACTTCCACAACAACAACCGCACGCCCTGCAGCCACCACTGTCGCTCCTAAGGCCGCAACCACCACATCCGCTACAGCTAAAGCAACCACGGAACTTACTATGAAGGCAGCCGCAGCAAAGCCGACGCAAAATGAGCCACTAATCAAACTCGAGCTGCCTAATGATCCGCCAACTGGCATGCAGGGTCTTCTCAGTCTGCTTGACTCATCGTTGAGTGGATTCTTTGCAGAGCAAGAGCAACCATTACATATGCCGCCAGCAGCTGCGCAGCTAAGCGAAACAAAGCAGGCGACTAGCGCGCAGATTTATGTGACCACACCGAGTACAGTGTTGCAGCCAGTGAACACCACACATTCAGCGGTCCCACCCGTCAATGCCGATGCACGCGTTGGCAGCAATGCCAACCGCATTATGGCCGCCGCCGCAGCCGCGATGGACGTGGATCAATCGGGGTCAGCAGAGTTCAGCCACACCACAGATGTGCCGCCGCGTGAGGTGCGCCAGGTATTCGATTATGATCAGCGTCCAGAATCACGACTCAAGGATTTCGTAATTGAAAGCATTGGTGGCGAGGGCGATGAGGGCGCGTCAGCTTTCTACGAAGACGAAGAATTCGAGGAGTATGACGACGACGCAGAGGACGTTGGCAGTCAACAGCCGATCAAGCGCATTGATAAGTTTGTTGATTTTGGCGGCGATGAGGGTGAATTTGTAGGCGACTATGAAAATGTGGCATTAGAGGAATTGGGTTTGGGTGATGCTGTGCCGGTGGCGAAGACAGCAGCAGCGTCAGCGACGGCGTAATTGCACATGTTGACAGGCGATAAGAAGCTCTGTTGGCCACAACAAATGCGGCTAATGCTGATCTTCCTGACCTTTGTCCACTTGCGCGAAACGAAAACCAACAAAGTCATTGCGCGCGCTTGCGCAGTTGGATGCTTTGCGCTCAGCTCAACAACAATCAGTCATTCAAACGTACAGCCAACACACAATTTTAATTTATTGCCAGTTGGCACTCAAACGCGCAGCTGCAATAAACAATTTATACTTAACTACAACAACGTACTGCTCTACACCAAATCTACTTTTTAAAACTCGTATTTTAGAAATGCAACTTTTTGCTTAGTGTCTTCGTTTTGTCTTCTGATTAAATCTTTTAACTTAAATGTGTGTAAATACTACAGCTTTATTTATGTATTGTATTTGTATTTGTATTTATTTATTTATGGCTTTTTTTGTGGCAAAGATTTATTCACTTACTACGCTTAGGTTTCGTCACGATTATTTTGTGATTCAATATTTATTTAAATGTCTGCTTAGATTTTAAGTTTATTTACTTTATATTCTATGCTGTCGACTTTAAATGTAAGATTTTTAAAAGAAACGTAAATAAATATGTTTTAATTTAAATTAAAATATGAATTCTTGTTTTATGAAGAACCTTAAATTGTAAGTGCTTAAGGACCGATTTCACAGTGGAAAATTAACGGTCCAGCCTCTGGTTCCGCACCATCTGAGGACATCAATAAGATCTACCCTAGAGAGTTTTCCAGTTTTCAAGGATACTCGGTTTGCGTGGTATATAACCTTTCTCCTTTCTTTTACAGCTCCACGGATCTATTATCATTACAGGTAAATTATTTTCTTCATGGTCTGATGATTGGAACTGAACCAAAGTGGGACTGCATACCGACAGGCCATAAACGGCATTAACGGGACTCGGTCTCGACTTAAATCGACTCCCGATCTGTGAATGCCATTTTGAGTACATAAACAACCGACGTAGACGGGACTAAACTCTATTTACCTCGATATACTCGCACCACAATAGCCCAACTTTTCTCTGAATCTGAGCAGAGTGCCCTCTTCGCATGCCCCACAAACTATACCTAGCTAACGCCCCTGTTCATATGGACAAAGGAAGTTTCACACTTCCTGGGCCTCCCTTTAGCTAAGTCTGATGACAACTTTGATGGACAAGCCGATCCGAGCGGGGTTTGGTAGCCGCTACAACAACAACAACAACAACAGTATGGGACCTCCGTCATTATGGCTCATGATCTTGAACAAACTATTGGTAAAGCTAGACTCTTAGAAAATCAAGGCAGTGGCTTACGTCGATGATGTACATAGGGACACTTTTCTAGGGTCAGTTTCCTACGGTCATAAGTGAAATTATGGAAGGGGCTCTAAAGATGGTACATTCCTGGTCCATAAATTATTCTCCTAGCGTAAACCCTGACAAAACTGACCTTCCGCTTTTCAGGAATAAAAATAAATTACCCATATTTACTAAACCAAGGCTTCGAGGAACGGAACTGGTTCTGTTAAACAGGGTGAAAGACCGTGGAGTTATTCTGGATCCCAAACTTAACTGGACGCCACAAATTGAAGAGCGTCCAAGGACGGTGGCTCGGTGACTCTCTATGCAGCGAGCAGAATGTCAACTACAGTCCGATCCATACTCTTTTATGCGGCGCTGGTCTGGTGGCCAGCCTTACTAATGATTACGTAGTTAAAAAACTAAGCGCACTTCAAGTATCAACAGCCGCTGGCGTAACAGGTGCAACGAGAACCTGCCCGAACGACGTTTTCGACGTGCCTCTTGATTTATTACCGATAAATCTCTATCTTTGTGGAATTATGGAGGCAGTAAGAAACATCAAAGAGAATGTACCCACTTAAAAAAAAAGTTCTGTTAGGAATGAGCAAAGAATATACCTACAAACTTTTCTACGGTGTATACAAGGCAGTGCCCCGGGCTCAAAAGAGACAGTCGAACACTTCCTGCGCGAGGATTCAGCCCTCGCAAGGTGAGGTTAAAGACACTCGACAAACCATTTCTGCAGAATATTTCACAGTACAGCTGCTGCTCTCTGTATGACGTACTGACATTTCATTAAAGCCGCCAAATGACTGTAGGTTGCACGAGTTTTCGAATCAAAATTTCTATATTAATTTCTATGGAAACTTGAGAACATTTAAGGCTTACAATTCCTAGTGGGTACGCCAATGGTATACAGTGGATCTCAACATACTCATTAAGAGCACAAACTGTTGCATACTTACAGGAATAAAGCATAGCTGAACATATCACATGTAAACAAAAAGTCAATTAAAACAGTTTGAGTATAACTGGAAAAACCGTTGTATGAAAAGCGCACTCTTAAAGCGATTGTATCCCAGTGAGAAGAGCTAATGTTTGGGAAAAGATGCAAAAATTTCTCTACAGCGTTGTCATACAAAAGTAATGTACCGCATGCCGCTTTACGACACTATAAATAGAATTTATAAATAGAATTTTCAAATAAAAAAATAAAAATAAAATAAAGTCCGCGCCACAGGTTTTCAACCCGTAACCAACAGCAGCTGTAGAGATAACGTGAAACAAACATATGTACTTGGGCAATGCCGGATTTCCACTAGGCATTAAATGGCAAAAATGACAAATGACAGGTTGGGCCTTAAAAAATATTTGTGTCATTACGTTTAAAAAATTGTCATTAAGTTCATTTACACATAGCATTTTTTAAATGCCATATATTTTTTGTCATTTCAGTGCCTAGTGGAAATTCGGCATTAGTTCTTAAACTTTTTGTTTGGTTTGCGGCTTCAAAACTACACATCATCGGCTCGCTTACATTGCAATGCATCTTCTCGTTGAACGGTAGTTGTTAATCCTTTCTTGATAAAAACAGATAATGCATTCCCATTTTCCTACTGGGTACGTATTATATAGATACAAATGTACATATGGAAGTATGTATTTATGTGCATAATGCATACATACATACATATATATTTTTATGATTTTTTTTAATGAGTCCTCACATATTGAAGATGAAGATGAAAGACAATCGTGACAAAAATATACAAGATAAAAAAGAAAAAAAAATAAAATCTAATGATGCTGTAAGATAACTGAAATAGAACATAAATACGATGAAATTCGAGAATGATGAATATTTTTTGTTGGTATTTCGTGCATAAAAGTTAAAAATAAAATAGAAAAAAGTAAGATTTTTATTATTAAGTTTATATTTACTAGCGTTAAGGTGGTAATGAAACAAGATAATTGCTAAAGAAAGTGGAAAAACATCTGAATATGTTTTTTTAAATCCAAAAAAAATTGTTTTTGTTATTTTCTGGCCCAGTAACAATTTATATTGTAAAACTTTTATTGAGCTTGATTCCGTAATAAATGAATTTTTTTTTATGTAAAAAGTACAATAATTTACATTTTTGCTAGAGGCTAATTTTTTAATAATGAGCACACGCCTTCAAGTTAATATTCTAAATAAATAATATTAAAAAAAAAAAAACTTTTTAATATACAACGCTTTTATAATCGGACCAAAAAGTAGAAAATAATAATTCTCAGTCCCATAGAATTAGTTTTGATAACTTTTGATTTTGAAGTTTTAGCAAAAGTCATTATAAACCTCGTCGTCTTGAGAGGTAGATGTCGCCCTATGCACTAGACTTTTTTATAGGAACTTTGCATAGCAAAGGTTTTATAGCTGGCAAATGGTATCTGGACACACACCATTGCAAGTTGATAAAAGCGTTGTAAAATAGAAGTTGCGAGTATTTAGGATGTTACTAAGTACCGAGTATGCTAGTACTTACTTCACAATGCTAAATACCTAACGAAACATTGCGTACAGAAGTGCTTCGAGACATCGGCTTCACTAAATATTTTCTGGATACAAAAGTACTTAGTATTTATTTCTTAACTAAATACGAGATATAAAACCACTTAGCACTTATGACTTGATTAAATACTAACTCCATGCTTTTTACCTAGTGTAAAAATAAAGAGTTTCGAGATTTTCAAGACTATTTTGAGGATTTTTGAGACTGTCTAGAGTTTTCGAGACTATATCGAGATTTTAGAGACTATTTCGGTATTTTCGGGGCTACTTCGTCATTTCTGGATTTTCGCTAATTTATATTTCGGGATATTTCGGGTAATATTTATTTCGGGATTTTTGAGACTTCCAGATTTTTAGGATTTTCGGGAATGTCGGAACTATTATTGGATTTTCAGAACTATTCCAGGATTTTCGAGATGTCTTCGGGACTTCGGATTACCGAAACTTCTTCAGAGTTTTTGGGACTACTGCGGGATTTTCAGAACTATTTCAGGATTTTCGGGATTTAGGGGACTTTTTCGAGACTACTTAGAGGTTTCTTGAATTTTTGGGGTTTTCGAGGCTGCTTCGAGATTTGTAGGATTCTAGGGACTATTTTGGGTTTTTGACACTAATTATATGTATCAATAAAATTGGTCATTATTAAATCGATAAAAATTTCAATAAGTATATCGATTACAAAATAGAAAATATTATCGGTACATATATCGATAAATTTATCGACATCAACATCGATTGATACAACAAAATTTCCGAAATGGTGCCGAAAATTGAGGAGATCGTAAGGCAAGGTTTTAATTTAAAAAATTTTCCTAAATCATATTGTATTTAGTTTGAATACCAGAGTATTAACCGCCTGCTGAATACTTTCATTTTTTGAACTTCAGTATGTAGCAGCTCCTAAATACCCAAGGTTTTTTTTTCCATTAGTATTTTTTACTACGGTATTTAGCAAACTCCTATGCACTAAGCAAAGTTAAGAAAAACTGCTGCTGGAGGCGCTGCGGCTCTTGATTGTCGCAAAACCGAGGTTACGTTCCATTCGGGCTACTGATGAGGCAACGGATTGTTAGTCTAACGACTGCTCTTTGTACCGGATTGGATAAGACTATTCCACCTGGTCCCTCCTTCACGCACACTCCTGTTTTAAGTTTCGTGGACTTGTCCCGAAAGAATCGAGTATTGAAACGATTCCGAAATTTTCGCTTTCTAATCCCAAAATTATCTCAAATTATGCCCGAAATGGTCCTCAACTATTCCCGCAATAGTACTGAGCCAGTATTAATTGGGCCAGAACTGGTCCCGAAATGATGACTCTGAAATAGCTAGAAAATGGTTCTGAAGTTGTCCTGAACAGGCGCCGAAACGGTTGAAAGCTTTTAGCTTTTCCTGATGAATAACTCAGTGAGAGGGGAGACCAGTATGTTTGCATGTATGTATATAAAAAAATATTTATTGGACCAAAAAGTAGTGGGTAGGCACTGTGGCCAATGGTAATCAACTATTACCACCTCCGCATGGTTGTAAGCCATGCAGAGTCCGCAGAATGCTCCGGAAGCAGTGTCCGGAGGATGCATCCGACTAGGCAGAGCATACTTTGAACTGCCATCAAATTAAAACTTAAGAAAGTTTTATTACATGGCAGTTGAGAAGTGCATGTACATACATTTCATTAATTTAATGAAGGAAATTTTTGCACATGCAGCAGTACATAACATGCATTTAGGCGCCTGGTGTTAGCAGTCGCGTCTAAACACCTGATATCGAACATGTCTTGAAATGGTCCCGAAATGATCGCTTTATAGTCCCAAAATGATACCGAACTCGTCCTGAAATGTTTCTAAAATTTTTATGAACTAGAACGAGACCGAAAATTGTCCTTCCTTAAATCGTCGTTAAAATTACTATCGAAATAGTTATAAAAAGGTCCCGAAACGTCACCGGAATGATCTCGAACTATTAGCGAAATGATCCTTGACAAGTCTCGAAATGGTCCTGAACCAGTCCCGAATGAGCCAGGAAAGCGTCCTAAACTAGCCGTGAACAAGTCCCGAAATGTTCATTTGCACACCCAAGAAGCAATTTGAGCTGGTTTACCCAAGAAACAGTAAGAAATTTTCTGCTGGGTTAAGACCAATTTTACCCATTCCGAGAGCTAAGATGCTTACACATCAAAAATACATACTAGGTATGTACATAATATACATACATACATATATATGTGAACATATCGCCGAAAAATGTGCCCTAGGGCTCCACTTGCATTGATAATGCGAATAAGTAAAACAAGTACTGATTGCATGCTAGCAGCCAAAAAAAAGTCAATTCCTATATTTAATATTTATTTTCTCTATTCTACCGCATCCTTATCGTCTAAATTCATCTGTGACCCACCTTTGCGACCTTCTGAACTCTCTATCAGTTCGCGCCCAACACTGGCTGTCGCTGCAGAAATACACAATTTTATATGTATCACGAAGAACGTCAACAAAAGAGAATCGACGACCGGTCGGTTGTGCGCTATAGCATCTCTTCCTCCAGCCATTTCTCTGGCATTTCCTCATGTGCTCATGTTGTTTCTTCACTGATAGGCACTAAGTTATGTATACAGCGGTAGAAGCGAATGCAGAGAAATTTATTTATAAATACAAACATGTGTTTTTGCACCATATCACGGCGACGAATGCGAAGCCGAGAGAAACTAGTATTTGCTTTGGCACTAAAAAAAAAAAAAAACAATCAACATAAATGTTGCGCCGAGTCAGTGGCGGCTGCCTGGGCCAGATGATCGCGTCAACCAATCGACCAGTTATGCCAATGCTTTTGAGCATTATCTGCATGGTCGATTCCAGTGCCGGTGCCGATGTTGCTGTCGCCAACAACGCGTGCACCACCGCTCCTCCTCGTTCTCCACACCTCCTCCTGCATGAGCTCCAGCCAACTGATTGCCATACTGGGAGACACACGCCGTTTACGGATTCATTTGCTCCGCGCGTTCAATTCAGTTGCTTTCAAAGCGTCGTCGATAGCAGTTCGTTCATTCGTTCGTTCAATCGCACTCGTCCGTTGACTGGTTTAATAGCACCATACACAGTTTATTGCTTTGCCGCCCCACTCTGACTTCGCACTTGGATAAGTCTCCTCCACTGGTGTGTCGTTTGGTTGGTTCTTTGTGTGCGCGTGCGGTTTGGTTTACGGGCAGCTGGAATTTTTGTGATCGCAGACAAAACGTTTTTCCAAATAGTGAATTTAAAAAGAAAGAAACCACTCTCAAGGAAAAGTAGGTATCTTTTAATGATATCTACAGAACCCCCCTTTATTTTAAGTGATTGAAAACTACATGAAAAATTATAAAACTGCATTTGTTTTCTTTATACTCTTTACTCCTTTTTTAAGTTAATTGTTATGATCCCTGCGATCGGCATTCGCGATCAGTTGGCAAACTTAATTTTTATTTCTTTTTCCCCATGTTACTGTTTACTTTTTTTTTGTGCTTCTCTTTTAAATGTATATACATACTTCTGTTAATTTTATCGCGTGCACGCGTTGTGTTTTGTTCGAGTCTGCTCCATTTCACATGTTGTAAAGAGTGGAAGAAAGCGATAAATAAAAAAAAAAAATTATTTATAAAAAACCAACTTTTGTTTTGAGCAAAAAAGTGACAAAAAGTGCGAAAAAGCTTAACCTTACTTAAGATAAAGTAGACATGTATGCACTTCTTTGTGTATGTATGTAAGTATATCCGCATAAGGGTCAAAAAACTCTATGAAAAAGACCACCCCCACACCTCCTATTCTTATACGTTTTAGCTCTCAGCCCATTCACCGCATGCGTGATCGCTCGCTTTGTGGCAACGTTCGCTTGAGTTTAAGTGCGTGCTGCTCTTAAATAAGTACGAAAAAGTCAATTTATGAATCTAAACAAACGCGAGAGCACGTCAACCACAACAATGGTAACAACAAATTTAGCTAACGCCTTTCAAAACTACTCACTCATTGCTTGCCTAACTGATGTTTGATTGGGCTGATTGACTATAAATATTGGCTACGTGTCTGTCTGTCTGTCTGTCCGTCAGTCCGTCAGTCCGTCAGTTTGTTTGCCCCACTAAGTGATCACCTACATAGCGAACATTGGTATTTTTGGATTCCATGTGTCTTTTTAGTACTTTTTTTGGTTTTCACTATTTTTTTTTTGATTCTTATTTTTTTCTGTTTATTTTATGTCATTGTTTTTTTTTGCTCTATTTAATTTGTTTCGAAAATTCATTATTGAAAATTTTCGTTCGACGATTTATTATGATTCTCGAGAGGGATATGGTCAAAAGCTTTGCAACGATCAAAATATTCGATCGCCCTTTGGTGGTTGTCTCAGCAGTACTTTTCTCCAAAAATTCCCTGTCCGCCATCTTCCTCATCTAACTGCTCCAGCCGATGCGCCAAAAAGCGCTCGGTTTCCTTTGGTTGTGTTCAGTACGCCTCTGGCATCAAATGGCCAGTAGAACAAACGGGTGGTGTTGTGTGGGCCATTTCGACCGGCTGGACGGGCGTGAGTGATTTTCCGACCTATCCAAACTTTGTAGAATTTGAGCCTGCTGCACCAACCGGACCAGAGTTCGAACTCATCTCGCGCGGTAGTCCGATTTCGTTGGCGTAGATAGAAGGTAGGAGATATTCTAGTACTATGTTGCGGGCAACGGCTTCCGGGATTCACATTGTTCATCAGGTGGCAGATTAGTTGAACAACATCTCCTTCTAGGTGGCCGATGTGAATCTTTACGTACCGTGTTGGTGTCATGGTAAAGTTGGAATGTTTGCTTCTGTCTAAACACTTCTGATCTCTCACGGAAATCAGTTCGACTTCATTGTGTATGTGTAGTTAGTTAACCGGCGAACGGAATGCGTAAAACGGCAGTAAGCGTTAGGCAAATTGGATGCTCTCATTCCCTATGGCTAAGGAATAAAAGAGTACGATGTCATATATATTTAAGAAGACAGCAATGTTGCGTCAACAAGAGAAGACGCACATTGGCCGTGTGGAGTGTTGCGGTTTGGCAGGTCTGAAGGTGGACCACTGCGTCTCGTGGTAGCCACGGACTTCACTCGAGCATAGTCGCCGCATATCGGCCAATAGCCTTTTTGAGGATCTTTTTGGGTTTTCGTCATTAAACGAAATAAGGTCCGATCGCGATCTTCAGTTGTTGTGCGCGAAGACATAGATGCTGTTTGCGAATCGGTAAGACAAAGTCAGAATGTGACATATCATGGGATTCAAGCAAACTTCTTATGTATAAGTGAAGGAAGCATTGATCCATGCCATTTAACCTGAAAGCAAACAGCTACCGACTAAATGGACACGAAGAAATTGTTTCCTCTATTACGAAAAGTGATTTGAGCGCTTCATGGAGAATATTTTGAAAAACTAAACAAATTATCTTTTAAATTAATTTTCGTTTCGAGGTATACAATAAACGCCGGCACTTGGACTGCAACAAGAATCGGGAATGAAGAAATATTCCGAATGTGGATGAATTTCCACGCCGATTCATGACGCGAAGGGCTGTTAGGATGTCTGTAACATTTCGCGCCATTTCATAACCGTGGATAATGTATCATAATACTCCAGGTACCAAGTCAGAGCGGTGGACATCTGAGGGCTAAAGTGTACCAAAGAAAACCTAGATGAAACTATCTGTCAACAAGGTCGTGGTGACGTTTCCTAGGATGTGCGTGGAAAAATATTCAGTGCCTTTCTTTAAAATGAAACACCAAAGCAGGGGAACATTATGCAGGATTATTAGATCGATTGAGCAATTACATTAAAAGAAAGCCGAAGAGTTTGTAGAGTGTGATTTTTACTCGTCTGCTTTTCTTTTGCCCTGTATGGGCGCGGGATGTCGGGACCTGCTGGAACCACGTTACTGATTTAAAATTGGCCGGGATGTGCGGTATCGGGAAGGTCTGTAAACATTTTGCGGGCGGGACGGAACCAACACCCTTTCCCCGACACTCCCGATAAAACCGAAAACTCGGAAAATCTTCGCTAGAAACGATGTATAAAATATTCACTTTTTATGTTTTGTTGAGACGAAAACGAACAACAAAGCAAAAAAAAATAATCTTAGATCTGAGACAGCAAACAATGACTTAGGAACTTGGCCCACCCAAACCTAAAAAATAATCGGAAGATGCCAGATCTTTCATTATTATTATTTTTTTATTAATTTGAAAGACATGTGAATTTTTCTTAGTGATAGATTTCGGGACCCCCGTGACCCACTTTACAATTCTGTAAAACGAGAAGATGGGCGGGTAAGGGACTTAAAAATTTAATTTCTGGATGGGCGGGATCGGGTCCCGTGCCCATCTTTACTTAGTAGTGCAAGTAGTAGTCCAAGCTTCTAGTCGGACTAGGCTGCTTTCGAAGAAGTAGTTCCAAAACAGGAGGTCTTTAATCCGATTATCTACAAGCATGAAACACAGCAATAACGGCTCTTTAAGAAGGCAATTTCGCATGAGGTGGCTGTTGTTGGTTTGAGCTTTGTACAGTTTTTTATTCTCGTTCGGACTTATTTGCCGAATTTTAGCAGAAAAGTTTTCACGACCTACAGATTTTTTGCCATTCCATTATGGTGGAAGAAGAATGCGTTTACTTTACCGCGCAGATATTTACCAACTTTCACACAGAAATTAAATGTAACTAATTAAAATTTCGCATGAAGAAATTAGTACCCAAAAAGGCATTATTTTCGGAACCACGTCTGCATGGTCCGACTGGGTTACAACTGCCAACACGGACGTAGGTCCATTGCCCTTGACTCGGGGATCGAGTTCATTTTCTCAGCCATTTTCCCTGCCGTGCGTGAAAAGTGTTCTAAATGTTTGTTCCTTCAGAAATTCGTTGTGGTTTGAAAAACCTTCCGTAAATCACTTTCCTTCTGCTAAGGCGCGCTGAGCGGTGCAAAACAAGCTTCTTTTCGACTAGCTGGGAAGCAATATTTCTATCAATTGCTATGATTGGTATCAATTTTCTCATAACCCTTTAACTACTGCCATTAATTTTTGCTAGTTACTTGTTGACCCTTTTAGGCAGACATTCTTCAGAAATGACTTATACTGAGTTAACATAAAGGATATTTTTTTTTAACAGAGTTGCACCTTTTTCAAAAGTTAAAATCAATTAATTAATAAATTTAAACAAAATATTACAACAGTGTGGGCGTCAAATGAAAGGTTCCAAAACGATTTATTTAGAAATTTGCTTTCGAGTGGGTTACCAGCTTTTCAAAAGTTAAAATCTATTAATTAATAAGTTAAATAATGTATCACAACAATGTGGATCAAACGCAATTTGTACAAAAACGAATTATTTGGATAGTATTCTTTAAGAGGGGTGCCACCTATTCAAAAAATTAAAATTAATTTGATCGGCAAATTAAACCAAATACCTTAATATGGGTATCAAACGCGAGCTTATTTTTAAACATCTTTTTAAAAGGAGCTGTCACCTGTGTAGATATTCAAAATCAATTTAATTAATGGAATGTGGATATCAAACCAGAAAGGTTTTCTGAAAGCTGAATCTATTTCTAAAATATGTTTAAGGAGGGTTGCCCCCAGTTTAGGAATTTGATTTAGGGTGAGTGTTTGATCATGTTTGTTAGTTTTCTTTATACATTATAAAATTTGGCATAAAGATAGCTTATGACCTGGATTTACGTGTTGCATTATCTGATTAAAAAGATAACTTAAACCCGAAATGGTACAATATGGATTCCAAATGAACGACATTTGAAAAAGTTATAATACGACCAAATTTTTTTGGAAGATTGCCACCTATTTAAAAATTCAAATACCATTTTGTCATAAGTTAAATAAGGTATTGCAATATAGATGTCAATCGAAAGAAGTATAAGAAAATTTTGTTTCGAAAATATTTAAAAAGAGGGTTGCCACATGTTAAGAAGCCAAAGAAAATTTAATCAATACGTTAAACGAAACATTGCAAAAAATGTAGAAATTGCCAATTTAGTTAAGGCTCGACAAAATGATGAGGTTCTGGAATATCAAGGCAATAAGCAACGCCTTTTAATAAATTTTATTAGTTTCGGTGACATAATTTATTTTCCTTTATGTTACTCTAAGACGAACTTTATGCGGGCTGAGCTGCGGGCATACGCTTTTTGTGACCGAAAAGTGGAAACTTGAACTGTTAAACAAAATTGTGGCGAGATGGAGCAAATAATGATGTTTGAACATTATTTCATTGATGCTTCCAAATGAA